TATTTTATTTGGCACAGCATTTTACACTCATTTTTACGCTTATACACATAAAAAAGAGATCATCATACAAATCCTGATGCAAATTCTTTTGTTAAAAACGTAGTAAAAATTGCACATTAATTATGCAACAGCAGTCTTGAAAACAACATTCGAATTTGAATTGAAAATTTTTTTCTATGTACTTTTTAAAAGGCATCTTATGCAACATGTGCGTACATAAAACAAGCTCACAATAATATGAGTGTAACGTTTTATTAAAATTTTACTTTATTGGTTTATGGGAACTATAAATTATAAATCTTTTTAATATTATTGATGAAGAAAAATCTTAATATGAAATAAAATTATAATAAAATTTCTTTGAATTTCTATGTCAAAACTGTTCTTGCTGAGAAATTCAAAGAGAGATTATTGTTGTAATTATCAATTCTATGCTATCATAAAAAGTGTTCCAAATAAAACTGATGGTTTTCAAAAATTAATAACTTGAAAATGGTTAAGGTTTAAAAATAAACAATTCTTGCCGCAAATTCAAGTGACAATGCTTAAATTTTCTGCTCAATGTTTCTAATATTAGTATAAACATTTTCTGACAGTTGGGCTGCAGATAGAATAGCTTTAAATTGGGGGAAAATTATTTAAAATTGGAAGGGAATTTTTGAAATCTTTTTAAGGACTGAAAATTATAACTATTTTCAAAATGTCTGCCATTAGCTACTACCACATCTTGTAAGTGGAGGACACAAGGGCAAGAAAAGTAAAGGGCACTTGCACTGCTGTCTTTCAAAAACTGAAGCCAGAAATCTTGGAGGGAAATTTTTGCCTTGTTACATGAATTTTCTGCAAGTTATTTCTTTTTTACCATAACCATTTTTCTTTTATAAATTTTTAAAAGCCTTCGGTATAATTTCAGACACATTCTAAGCGATAGTGGTTAAGTAATGTTAATTATTGCTTAAGTAATATTAAGAAATGTGTTAAGATTAATGTTTTTTCAAGAATTAAAATAAATTATTTAAAAATATGTTTAATTCTTTTTTGTTTACTGTAATCAAAGGTAATTCATATAAGGAGTAAAAAGTATTTAAAAATATAATTTGAGTAGATAGAAAAATTTTCTTACACAGCAAATAATTGTCATAAATAAATAATAATCGTGTAAGGGAATATTTTTTCAAGAAATTTTAAATTTTGATTCTCACATAGTACTGAAACATTCAAAGGAAACATAATTGTTGAAAAAATATATCATAAAAAAAGTATAAAAATTCTCAAACAAGCAACATAAATTAATTTCCCATATAAAAACAATATTTACAAAGAGCACATTATTTAAAAATAAAACACATCAATAGCCATATTTTTCAGATAAAACATTTTTGGCCTATTCTAATTAATAGGTATCAAAATATATATTTTGTAACCAATTATAATGAGGAATTCAACCAACAATTAAGTTTTCTAATTTAACAACCCTACAAATCACCTGAATTCACTTGTTTACAGCTAAATGCTACCATAAACAGACATTTTGAAAGTATTTTATTCACATTCTTAAATGTTTGTAATGTGCTATTAAGCATATTAATAAAGGTTAAATACCAAGGAAAGCTTACTTTTTTTTCTGTGTCAATAACATAGCACAATCAGATGTTGAGGAGTTTCTGATTCTGACTACATATGGAGGTTGCTGATTTCAAATATGAACTGCTTAAAGCAAATCTGGATTTGGGCATTCAACTTAATTTATTCATGCATTATGTTGTATTCAGGCTTTGACAAAAAAAATTTATTTTACAACTAAAAGTTTGTTTTGTTATTTTTTATATTAACTCTGTTGATAGATGTAATGGTAAAATGCAGTGATAAGACAGAACTAAATGTTGTTGGTATCTCTAGTATCTTAAGTGAATGTTTTGATTTAAGAAGAGTTTAGAGTAAAATTCATATGGCGGCATTTGTGAAGTTTTCTGTGAGCAAGGCAGATTGGAATAAGGATCTAGGTGTCAGTCGGGATTGAGTATTAAATTTTTTTTTAAATTCCACCCTGGCACATCACAATTATGGCAATGAGGCTCTAGACAAAAACCAGGTTTGCAATAAAGAGCCTTGATAGGTAAGAATTAAGTTCTAAAAGGAACAAGGAGAAAACAAATTTCTTCTGTTTGTAAGATAGAGAGGACCAACCACATCCTTGGAAACAATGCAGCCTCTTTGCTGTGAGATGACATTAAATTTGAAAATTCAGATATTGAAAAGTGAGGGCTGTTGATGAGACTCATAGAGATGACAGCTACTCTCTTATCAAAAGTTTTCTTAGCTTAAAATACCAGCATCTACATTCAGATTGATGTCATGGGCAAGGAGATCTTGTAAGCATTTAAAATAGAAAACAATTCTGTATATATATATATATATATATATATATATATATATATACNTTTATTTATTTATTTATTATTATTTTTTTTGAAATTGTAAGAACTAATAAGACAGTTTTCTTCTTTAAAACCAGCAATCTCAATATAAGTTAAAAATACAAAGCAACAAATTTTTTTGAATAGTTGTGACAGCCATAATTAAAAATAATTAAGCTACTGTATTTTTGGTCAATGAAGAGCTTTTAGGAAAATAAAGCAGCTTTTAAAGTTTAAATTAGCACAAAAAATTTAATTAGAATTAATTATTAAATTGTACAGAACAAATTTCTGATAGGGAGATAAATTTACATATTTAATAAGTAAGCTACTACAAATTTTTTAAAGAAATGTTACAAAGGAATAGTTTTCATGATTAAAATCAACACACTTAGTGTTATCAAAATCAGTATAAAAAGTTTTAGGCAATAAGGAAATGTTTTCGTAGCTCTGTTTAATTAATGCATTGACTAAATATTGTAAGAAATAAAAAAACATATATTTAGTGTCAGAATTGAGATGGATATTAAATCGATTACTGAAAGAAAAATTAAAGTGAAACTAAAATTTTATTATGTTATTTGTCTTTTTTTATGCATTGGTATAAAATGGACCAAGAAAGAAAATGTTTAGCATTATTATTGCATCAACAACATCAGTGTGAAAATTATTACAAAGTTTGAATGTTTTTCAAGTCTGGCTAATATAGTTTTGAAGCTAGACGGAGTGATTAAAAATTGCCATATTGATAAGAACTTTAATCTATAAATCTTGAAAGACTTTACTTTCTATACTGCTACAGTATAATTTTTTTTATTCATTTTTTTATTTTATTTTTTTGATTATAAACTTTTTAAGATGGTTTTAAGTTTTTCTTTGACTCAAAATGTTTTCTTAAATCACTAATAAAGTCACTTATAAAAAGCAATTATCTGTAAAAATTTTCTTATTTAGTAAATAATAAGTATGAAGATCTCAAAGTTAGGTTTTACGTTTTCTTACATCTAACATAAAGACTTCTCTATTTTCATTAAAAATTCATATTTAAATGTTTCTTACAAGCAACTTACTTAACCTTTTTTATTGCGTTTATATGTATAAATATTAATAAAATATTGCATTATAAAAATTAAAAAGTGGGCGGAATTTGATTTTGGTTTGAATCTTATATTTTCCAACTATCTTACTTATTTCAAATCATGTTCCCTTATGCTAAATCTAATTTTAAAAACTATTATTAAATGTAAGTCAAAGAAATTTCATTAGATAGTATGCGTAAAATAGGGAATAACTCATCATAAGCATAGTTTCATTAAGGTTGGTAACTTATAAGTTGCTGTGAATTCCTTATATTTTGGGTATAATTTAATCTTTACATAACTACTAGTCCTTGGTATCAAAGCAGAAATCACTACAATATTTCTAACCAAAAAATTTGTCTTTAATAACACATTTTCATATTAGAGGCACTTCATTTTGAAAGTTACCTATTGTCAAAAAATTAAGCACTTATAGCTTTCTTTGAGCGGATGCATTTCAGATAAAAATGGAAGATTTATTAGAAAATTGTATTGTTACTAGAATATAAAACTCTGGAATATTGACAATTTATTTTATTTTCAATGTAGTGTAGAAAATTTTGTATTATCTATTCCTAAGATATATTTACAGTTTCTAAACAAGTAGTATTCTATGATTTAAATTAATACTTATGAATTTAACCTTATATTGAATTTTAGTTTATTCTTCTTAATTTCTTTATAATGAACTTTTTATTTAAAAATGTTTTTTTTTTCTGGGAATTCTTATTTAAAATTGGTATTATTAAGGATACAACTAAATTTAATGCTGAAAAGGTGATTATTTTATTTGTCTTTCAAAAGTCCTGTCATGAAACTTTTCTCTATATATTTCTTACTCATTATCATTTTATGTGAAATTTAAGACTTTGTATCAAAATAAATAAGAAATAAATTATTTACGCCATGTTGAAGCTGCACAAATCTGCTTGAAGAAAAATGAGTTGTCATTATGCAAATTCAAATTTTAAAGGAAATGTGGTTAAATTGCTTTTCTAAAAATTTATTGCTGCAGTTTTTAAAACTTAACTGCAGTTATTGCAGCAAAAATTTGAAATTTTACTTCATATACAATTCTTGATGGAGTTTTTATAAAATTGGTTTGTTGTTACAAATAAACCATACTATAAATGCATATTCAATGTGAAAATTTGTTGTACCATAAAACTTATTCGAAACTACCGAAGTATAAATATTCACATATTTAAAACATAAATAATTGTATAGAATTATTGTTATCACATTCAAGAAAGAGTATGGACTTGTAAAACACGAATTAAGTGATTTACATCTAAAAACCTAATTTTAATATAAATTCTCAAATTATAAATTTATTTATATCAAAAATATTTTACAGGAACGAATTAAAGTAATATCTGCATATAAATTTTCATACATATTTATTACCAGAAAATGCCACATTTAAAAAACACATATGCATAAAATTAGTTAAAAATAATATGAGTTTTTCAGCTAATTGACTATAATTTCAAAAATAGTTAGTTTAATGCTTTCTTTCAAATTACATATAATTCCTATTTAATCTATGCAATAATTTTGTTTTTATATTAAATTGAGTTAACTGAAGTAACTAAGTGAGTTAGACCTATTTTAAGGACAATTGTTAAAATAAAAAGTATTACAAAACATTGTTAGCGTGGTAATATTCAAACTTTGTACATTTTTGAAGTTAGCAATTTTCCTACTTTTACTTGTTTCTAATTATCTATAACACCTAAACATTCCTATTGCTACAATCTTTTCCTTCATATCTCTGTTAACTTTGATTATGAGAGAATTATTGATTTAATTAATTCGCTTCTTACAATAATTATAACAACTAAGTTAGTGTTACAAAACATAATTTAGAATCAAATAAATTTTCAATGTGATTAATTTTTTGCTTCAATTTAAGTCTTATGCAAATGACATACATTGAAATTTAACATTTTGATGATATTAAATAAAAATAATTTTTACTAAAATGTGTTACACATAAAAAGCATAATATAGATAAAAAGTGTGAATGCAATATTAAAAGCAGTTAGTTTTTATAGATGTATTGACTACCTACTTTAACACATTGTTTGCAACTTCAAAGAACTGAATTTCTGCACTATTCTTTAAGGAAAATATATAGAACACACTTTAAAAAAAGGACAGGGTCAATAGTTTGGCTGGATTACGTTTTGGGTATAGCAGCAATATTTTGATAGACATTGACTTCGGAGATGCATTATAATGGTAGAACACACTAGAAATAATTTATATTTGACTACATAGATAACTCATTACACATAATATAAGATATTCTACATATCTTTTTAAAAGGTACTGATTAATGACTGGACATGGTGCAAATGCATCTGATAAAATCAAGAATGTGGAACATTAGATTCAGACTCTGCTGAGGATGCGAGAGAATAATTAGCAGAATCTCTTCTTTGATGAGTTGCAATAGTTTGAAGGGGGGCGTAATTGGATATTGATTTTGAGCCATAACTGTTCATTTCAACTAATGGAAAATCTGGCTGATCAATGAAAGAAGTAAGCCTCGCATTGGTAGCCCTTTCAAAGGGCTCTGCTACAGAATGAGAAGTTTCATCAGATTTTAATTGATTCCGGTGAACAATAGTAGCTGGTGGTTTGAATGTTTTTGTATTCACATTTGTTGGGGGTGCTACTCCTCTTTGTAAAGACATACTCTTCCAAGGAGGCTTGGCAAGAGTTATGAAACCAACATTTTCCATGCTGGATGCACGCTTATTTTCTAAGCTAGCATTTGAATGAACTCCACTCGATGATTCACTGGTTCCTTTTTCTGGAGATGTTGAAGATTCACTTATTGTTTCAGATCTTGGTGATAAATCACCTCTGGAAACGCCAGAATCAGTTCTTCGAGATGATGGGCTATGCACAGACACTGATACTTTCAAAGTTGCATTATCGTAATCTTCACTTCCACCTCTTTTTTCAAAAGGTGATAAAAAAGGATTTATCTCCACATTCTCATAATCTCTTCTGGTGAAGTCATTCCCATCTCGTGGTCGCAGCCTCTACAACGGTTTAACTGAGTTAGTTTTTAAAATAAGCAATAAAAAGTAACAATTTTAAAATTTGCTTTAAAACAAAACAAAAATGCAATGATGATTTCAATATTAAAAGATCATATTATCAAAACTAACATATAACCATTCTGTTTATATTTTTCACTTTCTGCAATCAATCATAATGTGTCAAATTACGTTACTTAATGTTAGGTCAAAAAAAAAAAAATAATAATTCACTCTTGTCAAACCTATTGTTGTTGATCTCATGACATTAAGCAATGCATCTGTCAAGATAGGTAAAATCAAAAAGCGAGCGAAATGATATTTTGCAAGTATTATAAAATTCTATTTCTTATCTATTATCTTTGTTAAGGATTCATGTTTAGGAGAAATACCTTATAATTAGTTCATTGTACTTCTTATTATTTCTAAGACTGGTAATATTATTTGGTTTTACCACCTTTGTTTTTCAAAAATAAATACTCTATAAAAGCAGAAAGTGCTCAAAACTGCAACCTAGAACAAAGTCCCCACAAAACAATTTATGTCCAAGTCTTGATGAAAATTTTACGTGCAGTTAATAATTTTTCTTTCATTACTAGGCATTTATACATTATTTGAAATTTACCAAATAAGAATGCCTTTTTATTTATTTATTTATTATTTTTTTTAAAAATTTCTCCAAAATATTTTTCCTTAAAAAAAAAAAAAGAATTTAACCGTATTTTTCTGAGGATATCTGCAGAACACTTTTAATTATCAAGTCTTATTACAAAACACTAGGCATAATTCTGCTCGTCGGCACTTTGGTACTGGAAAAATTTAAATGTGAGCGAATAATACATTGACAGTTGTATTGCGTGTCAAAAGTGATTTCCGGATTCCCAGTATAACAATACCTTCAGTGACATTAACTCAACTGTATTACTTTAACATTATCTTTAAAATATTGACAAATTCTCGAGTAATGCAGTATACAGTTTTGTTTTTCCACGTTAATTTGACCATCTTTCAGATCGGGTTCTATCTTACCCTTTTCATTTTAACGAAATTCGGTACATAGGAGCCTAAATAAAAAGATTTAGATTTATTAACCCATAACTGTTGCAATATAGATATCTGTGCAAACTTTGATAAAGTGAAAAAACTCTGACAAAGAAAATTGAGCTGACCTCACGGTAGGTATTTAATTTAGTAACAATTGAAAATTTTGAACTCTTGTTTTACGCATGCATTTGCTGAACCTATTGCTGCCCAGCTATAAAAAGTGGTTTATATATGAAAAACACATGTTTCTAAGAACTTGTACATATTTGTTTTTAGAAAAGGCATACCTTTTTTACGCTTTCTGCCACTTAAGTATAAAAAAAAAAGCCCTATGCGTTTGCTTTAGATCTGAATATAAACATTTATATTATGAATATGTATACTAAGGTAGATTTGTTTGCTTTTGTGAAATGTAATCATGTTTAATTTGTGTACTTTTTTCTCTTTTGAAGAAAGGAACGGTACTTTTAAAAGGACTATAGACACAAATGGGTTAATGGATACCATGAAAATGTAAGATTTATAAAAATATAAATTTCAAAACTTCAGTTTAACTTAGATTAAAACGTACAGCTTATACCAAAACTCTTATTTAAACCTTTGCTTACTTTTAAAGCTTCATATCTCTTGTTTGATTATATTCAAAAATTTTAAATCTCGTTCAGAATTAGCAAGACGAAATTTACCAAATCATGAAATTACAGGAGGATGTTCGTTTGATTTGTGTTGGATCTAATTTTTATGTTTAAAATATCTGCCTTGAAGTAAAAAGCTTAATAAAGTTAAAAATATGTGTATTCTCAATTCAAAACTTGACAGAACTTAAGTGTGAAAGGTTTACACATCTCGTCGTACTAAAATTCATTAAAGTTTAGAAATGGTAAAGTAGAGTTATTATGAAATACTCTTAATTGTTTTTTTGTATTGTTTAATTGGGGATAAAAGTTTATTAGTTTTGATTAAAATTACCTTAAATTGTTATAATTAACAAAGGTTTATAAAAATAAATTTTCTTCATTGTAGAATTATAAAAAATTCTTACCTTAGCTAGCAACCCATCCTCTCCATCTCCTTCTTCCCTCACGACAGTCATGTCTCTTAAAGTTGCATAATCACCATCATCTGAATCAGAAAGTTCTTCAAATTTTACATTTTGCTTTTTAAATCGGCGATTATTTTTTGGAGATTTTTTTAATGATCTCGTCCTTTTGCAAGTTGCAGTTGATCCAACACCTTCTTGGAAGATAACTTTGTGTTTGGGCCCAGGAGATTTTCTTTGAGTTTTATGCCAAGTGGAAGAACGTTCTCCTTCTTTTGGAGGGGGAGGTTTTGGCTTTAACCAATATATGTCATCATCCTCTGTAGGAGATAGTTTAGGTAAGGATGCCAGAGATTTATTTACAATATTAAGAATTGCTTTTTTTGAGTCTCTTTCTCTAATTTGGTAAGTCTGTCCATGATCGATCACAAGCAAAGGTGTTTCTTGATTGCTCCCTTTAAACACACTTATTTGTGAGCTTCCATGACCATGAGAGGACATAAAAATCCATTTGTGCTTAATAGTTAGTATCAACCACAACACTATCCACAGAAATAAATGTATTATAGTTCCTGTAATTCCAGCAAGTACAATTCCATCTAAACTTCCGCAGTATACTAATGTATAATCATACATTAAAGGGCCAGCACACAACGCAGTGGCTAATAACAGTACGAAGGCTGTTAAGTGAGGGGCGACTCCCCACAGTCTTCGAGATTCTTGCTTCCAACGTATTAGTTGACACTGCAATCTGTTATCCAACCATTCTTTATATTTTTGAAGACCGTAAAAATACAGTACAGTTGATGAAACTATAAGTAATGTTGTATACACAAAAAATGATAAAACAGTCAGTTTCACATTTAGGAATAGTGAACTAAATCTCAGCAAAATTTCTCTTGGTCCGCAGATATGAACTTTGTATAAAATTGAAAATCCTGCATACGTTAGAAGTTGCTGAAAGGCAGTCAGTAACAAATAACAACTAAAAAGCAACCCATAGCTTTTATTTGTATTCCAGTAAACAGCTGGGTACCTAATAGCAAAAACCAATAATGCTAAAGAGTAGTTAATGAACTCTATAGAAATAACGGCATGCTCTTCAACTTGAATTTCTGGGCGATGATATGGCTTTGGAGATTCATCAATTTGCTGACCCCATACTTCAGTCGAATTGAGAGTTGCTAAAAATCGCAATGTTACTAATCTGTCTTTATGAGTAATGAAAAAGTCTAAATCTGTTCTCCAAATAGCACCTAAAAGATGAAAAGAAAAATAAGAGTTAATAAAATTGGTTTCATAACTGAAAATAAAGACAGATTCTAGCCAATATCGAATTTTAAGTTTTAATGCTTGATAACTTTTTACATATGTTAAAGTATTAAAAAATTTTTAAAGTATAAAATAGTCTTCTTTTGTAATAAAAAAATTTTCTTTCGTAATAAAATTTTTTCCTGTGTTTTAAACTCTTATGTTTCACTTAGAAGATGTTAGATGAGTGTTCACTTAGAAGATGAGTGTTTACCGATATGCACAAAATTACTCGTAAACAGAGTTTTAACTTAATAAAAGTTGCTTTAACCCTTTGACGTAGATGGAACACCAGCATCCTTTTTATATATTTTTTTCTTACGTAATTAATATTCAATTATTAAAATGAAATTTTTTTACCGTTTCTAGATATTTAGATGGCAGTTTAGACAACATGAAATTTCACAAAATGCTATGAAGTCGATGAATTTTAAGGTGATTTTTTCCCCTGTCTTCCTTTTGTATATTTAGGAGTTTTAAATAGTAATACGGGTACCATAATCTCATTAAGCATAAAAAATGATCGTTAAAATTTAATTCATAATATCATGTATGGTATTAAATATATTTCCCACCAAGTATCTTTTTTCTCTTATCTACTTATGACAAATGTATCATAGTCAAGTTATCATATAACTTTGGAATAATTTGATATTAAATGTAATCAATAATAAATTACTTATTAAAGCGATTAAATATTATTCTAAAGTAGTTGATGTATGTCTTTTAAGCATTTCTTATATTTCAGAGAGTAAATTATCATAAGTGTATGTGTTCATTAAAATTCATTCATTTTGCCAAAGGATTTTATAAGCAACAGAAGGAATCGCAAAATAAAGTTGTCTGTGATAAATCACTCGGTTGATTTCAGGATGTTCGATATATAAGTATCATGAAAATGTAAATAAATGCAATTAAGATTATAAACTATGTTGAATAGTAAAAGAAAATAGCTCAAATGATTCATTAGCTAATTTAAATCATGAGTTTTTGAAAGCTTTTTGAAAAAGACTGAATTACAGGGACAGTAAGGATATATAAAACAGTGTAAGTAGGAAAGTAATTAATTTTCTTTTTTAAAAATTATTTTTGTATTGTTATATAATATATAAAATCACGTTAACTTAATGTATTGCCATGTATTTCTTTAAAAAAATAATTATTGTTTTATACGGGAGGTGGACAAAATAATGGAAACACTTTTACAATGATAAATTGTTTCATATTTCTCAAGTAATACTTAAAGAATAATTTTATAACTTTAGAAGTGTTTAGATCATGCAATTTCTCATACATATCAATGAACTTGTGAGCTTTTAGAAGTTTCAGGGACCAACAATAAATTGCAAACTGATAGTAGCGTATTTGAACACCATATGCCAAAAAAACGTGGCAATAAATTTGTAACTTGTGACAATTATTTTGGATATTATATGAAATAAGTAGTTTAATATATAAGTAGTTTAAGCAGTTCTTTTATTCTGCACATGTGCGGGAAAATTTTAAATTTTTCTTTTCTTAGTTTTGTAGTGAATCGTATTTGGCAACTAATGAAAAAAGTCCGATTTGAATATCTTAAAAATTTAAAAAGTTACAAGTAATTTTCTAAGTAGTTCTTATATTTTTAAAAAGAAAGCTCAAAAGGATAAGGAGTTTTCTATAAATATTATTTTGTATTAGAAGACAAAATTAAATAAAAAATTATAATACCTTACAATAAACGTTCATACACTGAAATACATGCGAAAGAAAAGATACTTTTATGGGGGATGATCTTCAACAATGCCGATATAATTTTTAATGAGCTTTGCTAATAGTACAAAATGAAATTTGTGAAAAACTGAATTTCACTTTGAACTTTTTTTAAAAAATTAGCATAACTACTTAGAAAATTGCTTGAAACTTTTTAAATTTTTAAGATATTCAAATCCGACTTATTTTTATTAGTTGCCTAATACGATTTTTCTTGCGCAAGCACAGTGTTAAAGAACTATTTAAACTACTTATTGCACAGTTTTCACCGATTCTTTTTCAAATTTTGAAGCAAAAATTTTGTAATTAATTTCAAATTGCTCTAAAAATATTTTGTTTAGCATAAAAACGTAAGACAACAAATATTAGTTTTTTTTATAAAAGTGTCTATATAAAAGTGTCTATACCATAAATAAATAACCTTGGCTTACGAAATTTTGTGCAATTATTGCATTCAATAACCAAAATAATTTTTACAAGTTACAAATTTATTGCTAAATTTTTTGGCATAGGGTGTTCAAAAACACTATTTTCCTTTTGTAATTTATTGCCAGTCCCTCAAACCTCTAACAGCTCTTTAACTTCATTCAGAAGTATTAGAAATCGCATAACCTAAACACTTCTAAATTTCTAAAATGATTCTCTACATAATGTTTGAGAAATATCAAAAAATGTGTTAGTACAGAAGTGTTTACATTATTTTGTCCAACCCTTGTATACAATTCAATATTTATAATTATTTATTGGGATTCTGAAAGGGTAAAAAACAAATAAATAAATGAAGCATAATAAAAAATCTTCACTCCAGACAAATACAGTATTGAATGTAAAAATACAATAATAATGTTAGAAATTATTATTTCTTGTTTAGAAATATACTCCAATATATTTGAAGGGCTTGGGACAATATAGCGATAAGCCCCCTTGTTGTTATAGCAAACATGATTGACATTGTTACAGCAAACTATTTCATAGTATTTCTATCTGATATGTACTTAAGTTTTTGTTCATAAGTATTACTTCCACAATAACATTTCAATTCATAGAAACATTTAATTGCTGACTTGGAAATCATAGTGTCTTTCAGCAAAAATGATTTGACAATGAAACGATATCATGAACTATTTGAAAATGTGACTTATCATTATTATAATATCACTCCAAGCCCTTCATTGCCAATAAAAGGAACAACTTGAAATGTTCTGACACAGTTCGTAATTTTTTTTTAATACTACTTTTTTTTGCGAAACTTTAGTTATATTGCCTAAAGTGATATCGAAAGTAAAAGGTATATTAAAAGTGAATTTGATTTATCATCATTTTATAATCTTAACAAAAATGTTCAAGTTTCCCATTTTGCTTGCCTTTCCCTTATCCTAAACACACGAAAAAGAGAATCAAAATTTACTGTAAAGGGGGAAAAAAAAGTAAAAGCAAAAAAACTATTTCTGCGAAGCATTTTCATAGGGCACAGTCAAGCTAATGCCGAACGATGTTGGTACAAAAGAAAGTTTTTTCTTTTCCTTTCACTTCCTAGTTTTTTGAAGCATTTTTCTCGGAGTTACTTCTGAAGAGTGTGAAGGAACATGAAAAAGAAAAACTTAATTTCATTCTCATCAATTTGCAGAGGATGTCATAAGTTTTGACGTCATGCTTTTACAATACTAATTACTAGTTCTTTTAGGAGGACGTTTAGCGCTCAATTTTAACTGTTAATCTTAGCCTTACAGGACACTACTTGCTCTACTAAAAGGTCAGGATATCGCCCTTGACAACTCAATGAATGATTTCATTTAGAACTCTTTTGCTATCCATGAGAACTTTTTCATATATCATCTGCATTTATTTTATATTAAGGTTTAGTCATTATCTTAATTATAAGAAATCTTAATGAGTAATATAAACTAATACTGCAGAGCTATATCGTAATTTTAATACCGAGATATATCATTAGGAAAAAATTACTTTCCACTGCATCGCGCCTTTTTTCTTTTCTTTTCTTTCTTCAATTTAGCTAGTTTACATTATTTTTACGTTGGTCACTCAAAGGAAATTCGTCAATATTTTCGTTACTCAAAGGAAATTTATTAATATTAACAATAATATCGTATTCGATAATTTCTATTAGCAATAATATTTACGATATTATCGTATTGAGATATCAGTCGTTGCTTATTATAATCGCGATATCATTAAAATCGATAATACTTAAGCATTATTGTGTTTGACTTTTATCATAGTCGATAATAGTCGTATATTCGACTTTAATTGTAAAGCATGATGTTATGCTGTTGTACAGTACATTTTGGAAGAAGGATTTAAAATATTGTTATCACGATGTTTAAAAATTTAGATATTTTGCGATTCATTTCCCTAATTATTCCCCTACTTCCTTAATACTTCACTAATTATGAGAATTATGTGAACAAAACATCGTGCATGATACCTTAAAGTTGAAAAGCTAATATTTTCTTATCTTTCATGAATAATAAAAGTAATTAAAGTGGCAAAGTCGTTTTCATTTATTTAGCTTTTTCGTTTTCGATATTCTTATTTAAATTTTATGTTTTCCTTTATATTCTGATAATATAAAGGATAATTTCGATTTCCTTTATATTCTTTACAATAAACAATGTTTTTTATTTTTTTTATACATATATATTACTGTCGGCAAAGCAATAAGCGTACCAAAATGAAATGTAAATATTTTTCATTACATCTATTTACAGAATAGCTTCATTTTTTTATTTTTTTACACTACATAAAGGGACAGTTAGGCTTCATATTATTGCTACAATATTTTATGATATTTATTGATAATATATTTTATTATTATTTTGCATAAATTCTTTAATTATATTTAAAATATTTTATTATTATAAGGGGGTAACCTCTAATATGCTATTTAATTAGTGCAGATGATATATAAAGTTACGAAATCAAACACCAAAAAGTACTTTCTCTTAATAAAAGTTGTCTTTTTTTTGTTGACGAATTTGGATTTTTGACCCTCAAAATATGGTCCCATACGGTAGCTTGGTTGGGTGAACGGTTCAAAGTTTGGACTCCTTAATGTTATTTTTACTTTTTGCGTATTTTACCATATCTCGAGAAATTTTAAATCGAATTGGAAAATGTTTGCCCACAATTATAAAATTCGTTTATCCAAAGCTAATTCAACGTAAAAATTAATTCTTAAATAAAATTGAGATTGAGTACTAGAACGTCCGATTATTAGAAAGATGAAAATCCGATTATTAGATTAAAAGCTATTCAGGGTGTTCCGTTTTTGTATTTTGTGCACTGTACAGTAAGGAGAAAAAAAAGATCATTCGAATTGAGATAAAAACATATATTTTTTCTCCATTTGAAAGATAATTAATTTCAATTGTTTTTCAGGAATAAAAAAAAAAGTTTAGATCTTTATTTTACGGACACCATTAAAGGAGATAATAAATAAATTTAGTAATAATAAAATTAGTAATATTTACCTTTCCCAAGGAAGCCATGTTTTATAAGCTGCGCCTCTACTAGTAGTCTTGGCAGCAAAAGGCACAATGATGCGGCTAAATGTATTAAAGGTGCTAAAGGCCCTCCATGTTTCCACAGAGATTTAATCCATCGACAATACTTTTTCTTTCGCAGATTTTGATAAACGACCATGTCTGGTTCCTCATTCCCAATTTTGTGCCCATCATTTGCATAGTTTCCAACTTTCATAAGAGCAAGTATTACAAAAAATGGCATCAGCACTACAGCTGATCCAATGAAAGCAACATACGCATTCAGTTCAAAATAGGGTTGTCCATTTGGTGGCCATGGTAAAGATACATAACGAGTAAACCTTTGTATACTTGTGGCCATAATATAAATTTGAAGTGATAATGCAAATACACAATACCATACTGACCACTGACTATTTACGGTGGGTCGATGACAAGATGCAAAATTCTCATAACGACCTTTGACTAGATGTGTTGTTTGTACTGGATTCACCATCTTTCGTTAGAAATCAGAAGAAGTTTATACTGATAAAGTGTTTCACTTAGAATTTTGATTTTCTTTCGATTTCAAGCCGTAATTCAATTTTTCCAATAAGAAGTGACATCTTCAAATAAAAGATGTAGACCTGAAAATTATAAGCATTATGAATATAGGAAAAGAGCAGTCCAGTGTTCCAATAAATTTTAAAACATTAGAAAGAAACATAAACGTTACATAAGTAAACAAGCTTATTACGAGGCCATTTATAAATGATGTACCTTTTTTTCCAAAATTTTGGCCCCTTTCTCCCCTTTGTTATTTCGCCATAAACCCTCCTACGTGATATGTCACGCAACAGTACATAAGTTAACAGTTCAGAAACAAAGCCCATGTTATAGATCAGTGGGGGTATGTGTATCCATAGGAGTACGCAGAAAATTCTTGTGAGTAAGCCACATTTCTCTTCAAATTATTTTATGTTCTCTCACGCGTGCAAAATTATAACAAAAAAGAAAAAAAAAATGGGTGATTTTTTTTAGCTGACTCTGTATTATTGTAAAAATTTAGCTACATAGTCCTCATTGAATTATAATTAAAAATTTCTCTGGTAATTTATAAATTGCATGCAAACATATATTGTGTCCTATAAAATAAAAAAAAGTAACTTGGTGCTTTTCTAAATTATTTTTCTATTCATTTCATGAAAAAAAAGATCCATTTTTGACTCGCCGCAAGGTTACGCTGTCAAAAAATTTGGGGATCATTATTGCAGATCATATTTTATGTATTATTTCTAAATTTTTACTATATTTTTAAATAACAAAACAATAATAACGAGTAGCTATTTTGATGAGTAGTTATTTCGATGAAATAAATACAGAAACAAATAATAAAAAAATATTTCATCTGCTAATTTTAAATGCTTTCATTTTAATCAAAATGTGTCACACTTTTTGCCTCTTTCCCCCTCCTTGTCACAAACTGTCACAATTTCACGAACTACTCCCTCCTCTTCAAGCATGACATTATTTGAAGATGGCTCTATATTGATATTTAAGTATGAGTATATTTCAAACGATAACTTTAATCTTAATATGATTAATGTTACCTATATTTAAATGGTAGTATTTATTTATATATTAGTTTAATATTTTAAATCTACTAAAAAAATTTTTTTTACATGCATTATGACTTGATGTAACAGTTTTTGATGACAGTAATAAATAGGTTCAAGCAACCTATACTTTTGAAATCGCTTTTTAAATAAAATATTCTTTATTTAACGTTCGATACGTAAAGTCATCATTAAATTTTTAGAATTTTTTTAAATTCAACTTTTAATTGCATATTAATAACTTATTATCTTATTAGTTTGATGCAAATTAATCGTTTTAATGAAATTAAATTATTTATATCTGATAGATTCGTTCTAAATAAAATATTCTGATATCATCAGTGAGCCATCAGAATATCATCAGCTTTCAGATGATATTTCTCAAAATGTAAACATAGTCTTACTTCAAAAAATAAGCCATCTGGTAAATTATTAAGTTACGTAAATTATTTTATTATGAAGTGAACTTTTTAGAATTTTTTTATTTATCCATTACAATTTCAACAATACAATGCAGCTTTCCTTTAATTAATGAGAAACATAACATTTTTCACATTAATACTGTGCATCAAAAATTGTATTCGTCAGAACCTGCAATTTTTGATACATTGTCTTAATCTGAAGACGAAACGATATGCCATTATTTATTAATAATATTTTTCAAGAGAAACGATATATGCTATTTCTCCACGTCAAAAACACATACATTTCATAGTATTAAATTGTAGGATGAATTTTGTATAATGCATAATTGTTATGGATATATGGTATAGGACATGATTTATGTATAGTATATCAATAACTGTTTAGCGTTTCTATATTTATCTTTTACAATTTTTAATAAATCAATAACACATTTTATGAGAAATATAACAATTTTCCGGTAAATAATGAAATATCATAAATTGTTATCGTTCCAACAGTCATTTTTGATGCATAATCTGAAGATAGAATGATTATTTATTATTCCATTTTCTCTTTCTCTCGCCTTTACTTTATTATCTACATATTTAAAAAAAAGATGTTTCAACTTTCGATTTCCTGTATCAGTTTCTTTCTATTCTCTATCATTTCTCCCTTTATCCATTCACTGTATCAAAAATCATAGTTACGGGGAATTCATATAAGATGTATGTTATCATTTCTCTTTCTTAAAAAAATAATAAGTAAATAATTGTACTATAAAGTATCGATTCATAAATGTTTTTGTTCAGTAAATTAATTTTTTTTAGCGCTATTATATTTATCCTTTACAATTTTTAGCTTCTCTCGCCTTTTCTTAATTATCTATTTATTTACTGTTTTTTTTTTTAAAGAAAAAGATATTTAACGATTTCCTGTTTCACTTTCTATCTATCCTCTGTCATTTCTTTCTTTATCCATTCTCTGTATTAAAAACTATTCATAGTAACAGGGAATTCAAGTAAGATATTATCGTTTCCCTTTGTTAAAAATATAATAAATAAAAAAATGTACCATATATTAAGGACTAAAAAACTTTTTTTGTTTATTTAAAAACAGATTCGACCATTGACTAATTCAGCAAGAAATAAATCAAATTTTGTCACCATGGCTCAGAAAATGTAATATCAAGTAGAAAAATTATAGAATACTGAAGCTGGTGAAAGCTCTATGATATGATTTTTTAAATAAGTGTCTCATTTAAGTTTAAATTTAAAATTAATAATATTAGAGTGAAACTTAATTGACTTTAATTAAAAACTAGTGCTTGAACGTGCCTTCCAACAGCGAAATATTTTGTTAAAAACTTATTTTCGATGCAAAACATACACTTTTATATAATCTATCCAAAATTGGCTAGCTTGTTTATTTTACTAAAAAATGGTAACACTTAAAATTTAAATAAAGAACAAAATTTGAAATATAAAATGTTATTGATAGAATGTTAAGATAGTATGTTACCGAATTGATAAGGAATAATTCTATTTGTTTTACAAATGGTAATTTTTAATTTTGAAATTTTCACATTTGTAATAAAAATTAATGAATTCCTTTATAATTATCATAATTGTTCAGGAATAAAAATGTTCTATATTTACATTATTTCAAGCGAAAATATTTAGTATTTCAATGTTTACATTGTTTTACTAAAAATAATATGTAATAAAGATTTACAGAATTATCATAAGAAAGTTTTTTGTTTTAGTTGCAGATAATAAAAACAAATTTTTTTGAGGTATTAAGAAAGAGAGTTATTGTTTTAATACAGTTTCGATTAATCATAATCTTTTATTTTTTTTGCTTTGATGATTGTAAAGATGCATTGATAGTTTAAGTAATGGGTTGTCTGTTTCTTAGTTTAATAATCAATAAGAACTTTTTTAATTTTTGATTTTTTTCATTCTTGAAAAAATAATGAATTGAAATTTCAATTAAATTGTTTAAAATTTAAATAATTTTTTCAAATCTAATTAACGTTAATTTTTTAGGAGAAATTAATAAGAGGTATGTAAGCTCTAATAAAATATTTTTATTTTGAATTCAACATATAGAATGCGTTAGTTTAAATCTGCCCCAAATATATCTGTTAATTATATGTGTGGCATTAATGTGTAAGTGATAGACCAGTAGATATTTTGATTTTATTAAATATTAAACAAATTTAGATAATTATTCATAAAAAATAAGTGAGTATCATTAGTTTGTTTATTATTTGCTTAACTCTTTAAAAAAAAAAACTAAATATTAGAAATTCAAACACTTAATGGATATAGTGTGTTTGATTTGATAAAAACGAAACTATTAGTTTTACAAATTTCAAATTACACTATGATGCAGTAACCTTTATTAATTTGAGAGAAATGATTGATAACTCTATAAAATAGGAAATATATTGTTAATTTGAGGTACTGATAATTTGATTAAAAAGTATAAATGTTAAAATTTCTGCCACATTGAGATGTCTGAAATACGATGGCGCAAAGATTATTTGTTGTTTATTTTCGGTTTTGTTTTCTTTTAAAATCTTCTCCGCATATTTGGGATAAAACAAATAAAATGTTACTCATAGATATTTTCGAAAATAGAACATAAAATATTCATAACTCTTTAAATTTCTTTCAAAAAAATGGTCGTTCACAACGAACCGAAAAGCATGATCTTTCTGAAAATAAGCCCGCCATCCTTATTGATTTTATGGCAGGTAGAGAAAATGAGCTTCTACTAGAAGTAATATTATAAAGCACGCTTTTTTTACAAAAAATTCTGACATTAAAAGTACTTTACTGTATCAAAAATTTTTTGTCAAAACGTTTTAGAGTTGATGTTTTTTTTTTCAAGCATGTTACAATTAAAATATTTACAAAAAATCATATAAATATGACTAAAAAGATGGCTTTCTGACAGTAGTAAAAGAGCATGTCAGATTTAAAGAATCATAAGTATTCTTACTTGGAAAATATTCTTCTGCTGTTGGAACATTCATTTCTTCTCTGTTAGTCGATCCTCGATTGACTAGTTGGGATGATTTCTCTTGAACCTCATAACCAGATTTTATCATCTGATGTTTCGCGATGGGTGATTTTCTTTTGCATCTCTTCTTTACTGTCGCACTCCATCCACCAGGGTTACTCTAGTAATCTCCTGTAGTTCTAGCCAATGTCGCCAATGGTTATCTCTTGATACAATCGGTATGTTTATTTGGCGTGGTTTTTTTTCCCCACCAGTTCCAAGTTGTTTTTATTTTTTATTTGTCAAAGTATCATTTGTCTGGCCTTCATTCCTTCATAACTCCCTAATGTTTTTATTCGTAACTTTTGCTGTTCGTAATATTGTTATCAATTAGAGGCAATTGTAGGCGAAATTGTTTTTCAGTTGAAAAACTAAAAGCTGATTGTTTAGCGCCAAATTGCACCCTTTTTTCATGTCGAAGAACTCATTCCTAAATTTCTGAAGTTGTATACGTATTTGTATTAAAAACATGTAATTAAAATTAAGACCTTCTTAAGTTCATAAATCTATCCGTAAATTTCACTTTTCGTAATATTGTAATCAATTAAAGGCATTGTCAGTGAAAATGTTTTTCAGCCGAAAAACTAAAATCTGATTGATTAGCGTCTTTTTGCCTTCTCAAAGAATTCCTTTCTGAATCTTTGAGGTTGTAATGATTTATATAAAAAATATGTAACTAAAATTCAAAGTTCAATAACACCCTTAGTTTATAATTCGTAACTTTTACTTGTCGTATTATTGTTATCAATTAAAGGAAATCGTCAACAAAATTGTTTTTCAGCCGAACTCAGTATGAGTTGAAGAATAAAAGCGTCAGTAACGTTTTACAATTTTTTCTCTTTTTTTACAAATTTAAAGGAATAAAGGTTGCAACGTTGCACTATAAGTAAGAAAGTACTGTGTATTGGGGGCTAATATGATGGAAAAAAAACTTAATTTTCATATTGTTTTTAACTGTTTAATTCATAATAATAATAATAATAACAACAACTAAATAAAATACTGTAGTCAGCATTTTGATTTTGTCTTTTATTTATGTGCCTCCAGTTTTAGCTACAGCACTGTCATTGGGAGGAACTGGGGTTCGATCTCCAGTTGTGGTTTGAAGCCCACCTAACCTTAGATTCATGGGTCTAGGAAGTAAAAGCGTTCTGTGCTCAATACTGACCACATTACCTTAATCATGCCGTTAGTCTTAACCTCAATGACGATCACCCTTCCCAGCTTACCGCAAACTGTTGTGGGAATACCTCACATTTTTTTTAAAAATTTATCTGCATCCGCAAATGTCACTTGAAATTTTCGTCTACTAAGCTCTTATATATAATTTTTTTTTTTGCCTGGCACTTTACTATTAAAAAGTGAGCAATTTTGGCTTATATTTGTGGTTTTGAACATTTTTATCGGCCATATTTTGCCAAAATATAGTAGAATATATTGCAGAATTAGTTAAATCTTCTTTATACTTTTACCCTTAAATATATCTGAAATTATCTTAACCGAAGTGCTGTAAAGACTTTAAATAAAGGCATTCTTTTATGGTAAATGTAAAAGTTTTTTTGAAATTATTTTTATAAAAGTGGTTTTAAAATTAATTGAAATAAGCAGTTAAAAGCAGCTACGGTTGAAAACAGTTCTTTTTTTCTTAGTAAAGCTACATAATTTGTTCTGGTTTGAGTTAAATATTTACTGCATCCGCTTGAAAAAAATTTTCCGTGACTGTAATAGCAACTCTGTGGTTTTATTTTTGTTTTGATATATTTCTTGGACTTAATTAAATTGAAGTAATTGAATTGAAATAATTGAATTGAAATAATTGAACTTAAATAATTGAATTGAAATAATTGAACTGCAATAATTGATTTGAAATAATTGAATTGATTGAATTAGACTAATTGAAATAACTTCTTAGTAAAGCTACATAATTTGTTCTAGTTTGAGTTAAATATTTACTGCATCCGCTTGAAAATTTTTTTCGTGACTATAATAGCAACTCTGTGCTTTTATTTTTGTTTTGATATATTTCTTGGACTTAGTTAAATTGAAGTAATTGAATTGAAATAATTGAATTGAAATAATTGAACTGAACTAATTGAATTGAAATAATTGAATTGATTGAATTAGACTAATTGAAATAACTTCTTAGTAAAGCTACATAATTTGTTCTAGTTTGAGTTAAGTATTTACTTCATCCGCTTGAAATTTTTTTTCCGTGACAGTAATAACAACTCTGTGGTTTTATTTTTGTTTTGATATATTTCTTGGACCTAATTAAATTGAAGTAATTGAATTGAAGTAATTGAATTGAAATAATTGAATTGATTGAATTAGACTAATTGAAATAAGCAGTAAAAAAAACTTTTCTTGCCTGCTGTTTCGTAATAGTAAACATCGCATTTTTTTAAATCGTCTTCTTAAAAAACTGTAGCATGAAACAATTCTTTTTTGCTTAGTAAAAAAGCTGCGCATTTTTTTCTAGTTCGAATTATATATTTACAGCATCATCTTCAAAATTTTTACGTGACTGTAATAGAAACTCTGTACTTTTACTTTGTTTTGACATATCTTTGGGACATATTATAAAATAAATAAAAATATTGTGAACGAAAGTATTTGCGAAGGGATTCAGAAAGCCGGGATATTTTATAAGTTGTAATGTCCTATCTTCTCATTTTTAGTTCTTGTAATAAATGCGCCAACTTTCTTTAATTCAATATTTGAAGGTTGGAATCTTCATAAACTTAAATAAATTGGATCAGTAGGATGATGCATGACATTGGCATCCTTTTTTCTATCATCTCTAATCGATTGAAGGTTCGACTTTGAAAATAATCTTTCGAATGCTGTAAATGTTTTATGCTTTTTCAGCGTTCCTTTTGCCCATGGAATAGCGCTATTGTAAAATAAAAAATAAAGTTAAAATTCGCCTTACTTAGGATAAATAATTGTTTTCATGGTCAACAATGCAAATTTATCAGTATTGATAAAATTACTAGTGTATCTTAAAAAGTAGTAGTTCTCTTATCAGTGTAAAATGCAAATTAGTCTTTTAATAATAGTATTGAGTGATGGCTAAATAATGATACTAAATAATGATGATAAAATGAATAAAAATAATTTAATCATGATAATAAATAATAATAAAATAGTGATAAAAGTAATGATAAATGGGTATTTTTTGAAAGTTGACCGTATAACTTCAAATTCGTTTTTTCAAAAAATTTAAATAGACAGTATTCCATTTTAATTTTATATTTGATTATGAATAAAAAAACATTTGCGATCAATAGAAAATATAATTTGATGCTTTTCTTGCAAATTATGGAGTTAAACAAAATGAAATTTATCGAAAAATGTCATTTACCCAAAATTTAATGGTAAGAAAAAAAAAGATTTTCCTAAAAATAAATTAATAAATATATAATTGCACAATGAATATATGTACAGTATAATACTGGGTTTGAACTAAAATATTTTTCAAAAAATTGTTTTAAAGTGGAAAAAAATAATAGCGCAAGCAAAGTACTTCATACTGCGAGAAAAGCATCTTCAGGTGTAAAATTTAAAATGGAAATACGAAAAAATAAAGATTGAAAGAAAATTAAATACGAGTTTGATTTCCTTCTATCCAAACGAGAAAAAAAATATTGATGTAATAATAGCAAAAGTTAAAAAAAAAGAAAGAAAGAAAACCGATATATATATATATATA